TCAAATTAACTACATCAATATCTAAGGCAAGCACTCAAAACAAAAAATGTCAAAAATAAATATTGTCCAAAACAAATTTTTTTTTTTTTTTTTTTTAATTCTTCACGGTGCGGGTTCGGGGTGGGGCCAAGCCAACCTGTTATGGGAGGCTTTTTTTGCCCCATTCAGGGCGGGGCTCGCAGGGACGGGGCGGGACGTGGTGGGGAAAATTGTCATCTCTACCTCTACAACTATTTCTACTTTCCTTTCACACGACTGTTTGACTTTCTATCACTGCAATATCTTCTCTCCTTCATGCAATCGAAAGTTTTTCATACCAAAGCTTGTTTGAGCCTCCATTTTTTGCAAAAAAATGTATTTTACAATAGTGTTATGAGAAGAATGTATGATTAAAAAGTAAGAAAATTTTTTTAATTTACGTATAATATTATTTTATTGATAATTGTATAGTTGTAATGGGGTCAAACTACTATTTAAAAATGGGGCTTGAGCAAAAGAACTATCCCAATTTTCTCTATCTCGATGGTAGAAAATAGGCGAAGGAAAATTTTGGGTGAATTGAATTGGCGACTATAATGCCGTTTCTTCATCTTGCTGCGATTTGCAGTAGAGTTTCTTCATCTGCAAGAGGTAGTGTTTACTTCTATTTATTATATTCCCCCATAGAATATATGTTTTAGGATCATGTTTAATCCCTCTTATTACCTATGTTAGAGGTACAACCTTTGTCCGAGTGAGACCAATGTTACCACAACATTTTATATAATTTTAACTACTTAAATTACCCAACTTTTATAATAAAACTTATTGGATATATACCTATTTGAAAATCTAGATTTTGATCAAAACTTTCCTTAAAAAACTCAAACAACTCATCATAAACTATAAAATCTTCCTAAATCATAAACCTCAAGAAAAATGTTTCCGTATCTTCTCATCGATTACTTGGTATTGGTGAACAAATAAAGGGAAATTGAATCTTTGTCAAACTAGCGACAAGGCTCCTTTAGGGATGTTTACTATTTAGTTTGCCTAGTTTACATGAATAT